AGGTTAACAATGACAAAATCCAGCCAACCAAATTTTTTCTACTTTCTATCATTATTCAAAAAAAAAAAAAAATTTCTCCTTTGGTACTTAGTACCCCAAACCCTAAAAAAAAAAAAAAAATTTCTCCTCTGGTACTTAGCGCGAGAAGAATATTACAGTGAGGATGAGCCTGACTCGGACGAGGAGGGGAACGATTGTGAGATTATTGTTTCATCATTTGATATGAGCGATGAGGTCTTCCAGAAGATATCAATGCCGGACGATTTCCACTCTAGTGAGTCTTACGACAGTGGTCTGCACATTCTAAAAGGATCCCTTTCCCTTGTGCAGTGTCCCTTGTTAGCTTTTCAAGAGAAATTGTTGAAGGTATGGGTGAGGAATGAATCGGAAGTTCATGGAGTTTGGACTCAATTAACAACGGTAAGGTTGTTTCCAATTGCTAGAAAACCATTGCTGTTTTGGAAGGATGATGATATTCTTGTGGAGTATAATAATGTGAGGGATTTGCTGTCATACAACATTGGTACATGACGCATTGATAATATTCCCCGTTTATTACGGTGACTCAGAATCGTTCCACTTAGCACCATTTGAATCTTCCCGTTCCATCACCTGAATGAGAATCGAGGGCAATTTCAGCACTTAGCACCTCGATTTTGCAATTAGGTGAAAGGCTATTGCACGGACGTTGCGAACCCAAGACCTGGGTTCGCCTGGAGGTAAAAGAAAAAAAAGAAAAAAAAAAAAGGCTGTAGGAAGGAGAAGCCGGGGAAAAAAATGAGGGTATATCAGTAATTAAAAGTAAAAAATTTAACATGTCATCAATTTTTGCCACGTGGATTTTTCATGTAATTTAGTAAAAAAAAAGAAATGAGTGTTTTCGTTAATTAACCTGCCATATCAGCCAAAATTTAATGGAAGGACTAAAAAGGGACCGGATTTGTGAACAGTAAGGACCAAAAAGGAGATTTTTTCAGTACAGGGATCAAAAAATGGATTTTTCCTATAGTAGAGGGACCAAAAAGGGTATTAAACCTTAACAAAACAATTGTTCAATAAACAAAGTATTTGCCAACATGGATGATAGTTACATCATTCTATTCGTTGTAAAATTGG